CTCGGGGCCGTGGCGCTGAGCAGCTGGGCAGCAAGGCAGCGGGGCCGGGAAAGGTCAGGTCCCCTGTGGCACCAGGCGACGCGTGGGCTCCTCACACCTGCTCTGTGAAGTCCTGTTGGAGGCCGCTAGCATATTATTTATACGTAAAAATACATACTTAAAATATTTTTTGTACCTGAAAATGGAGTCAGGTTTTATTAGATTTATCTCTCCTAATTGTCAGCTGTGAACTGCCTCCCAGTAGTTCTGCAGCAGAGAAGCCCGGCCAGTGTGAGTCAAATCCCGCAAGACTGGAGGAGGAGAAGCCCCAGCGCCGCATCCGCTGCCAGCCCTGGCTGGACACCGCGGCTGCTGGCGCAGACCCGCAGAGCTGCAGCGGAGCCGCAGTGTCCCCAGCTCCGTGTGTGTCTGGGGCGGCCGGGAGCGCGGCGCGGCCCCGGGACAAGGAGCGGATCAGGGCAGGGCAGGGAGACGTGGCCCCGGCAGCCCTGGAAACGGTGCTGCCCTCGCACCCCGCGGCCATCGCCTTCCTGATCCAGGTGCTGGAGAAGCAGGGAGCAGAGGCTGGCTGCTGCTGGGGCCACGGGGTCGTTGTGCGGAGCTGCCCGGGCAGCGGGTCCCGCGCACGGGGAACGTGCAAGAGGCAGGAGTGCATTTCGGAGAGGGTTAACAGTGCGCAAGGCTCCCGCGCCCGTCGCCTTCCCCGGAGCCTGCATTTTTATGCTGATTGGAAGCCTGCGCTGTGTGTGCTGCTGAAATTGAATGTCAGGCTTTTGATTTTGTTGCTGGTCTCTAATGAAATTTGACATTTAATGGTGAGTGCAGCGGCAGCGTGTGTGTGTGTGATCGGAGCTTGATTAGCGCGCTCTAATTGACAGTAATTAGGCAGCTCCCTGATTGTTTCTAATTCTGCTATTAATTGTAAGGAACAGTATGATTGAGGATAAATTTGGTGCGTTGCTGCTGGGGATGCAGCTTCTTCAGTGCCGTATCGGAAGCCTATTGAGACCATCAAGCTCAGGTTCCCAAGTGCGGCAACCCCGGCACCTCGCCGGCAGCGCAGGCCGGGAGGGAGGGATGTGCCCGCGGCCGGGACACGGGGCCTGGAGCCGTCCCCAGGCTGTGCTCCCTTGCAGAGCCGAGGACGGAGCTGACGAGCAGCGTGGAGCTGCCCATTAGGTCAGCACGTTGGGCCGTCCCATGCAATGCAGCGGTGCCGTCCTGGCCGTGTCACTGTTGGGCCGTCCCATGCAATGCAGCGGTGCCGTCCTGGCCGTGTCACCATCAGACTGTCCTGTGCAATGCAGTGGTGTTGTCCTGCCTGTGTCACTGTTGGGCCGCCCTATGCAATGCAGCGATGTCGTTCTGGCCGTGTCACTGTTGGACCATCCCGTGCAATGCAGCGGTGCCGTCCTGGTCCTGTCACCGTCAGACCATCCCATGCAATGCAACAGTGCCGTCCCGGCCGTGTCGCTGTTGAGTCGCCCTATGCAATGCAGCGGTGCCGTCCTGGCCATGTCACCATGAGACCGTCCCATGCAATGCAGCGGTGCCGTCCTGGCCGTGTCACTGTTGGGTCACCCTATGCAATGCAGCGGTGCCAGCCCAGCTGTGTTGCTGTCAGCCCAGTGAGGCACTGCTTTGTGTCCAAGACACTTAGTTTCCTTTGGAAGGAGCAGGCTCTCGTGGTCCGTGTGTACACTGATTTCTTTATCTTTACTTCTAGCTAACGGCACTGCCGATTCTCTCAGCTCCAGCCCGAACATTTCCAACACTGCCAGTCCAAAGCTGGAACCACCCCCGTCTCCGCATGCAAACAGGAAGAAACATCGCAGGAAAAAGAGCACAGGGACCACACGGCCCGACGGCCCCAGCACCGCAGCAGAAGGTAGGAAAGGTCTGCTCCCCGGCGGGCAGCTCCGGCGGAGCCGGCAGGCCTCCTCCGGGGCGTCTCCGGGACCCGGAGCTGCTCTCCAAGCTCAGACTCAGTCAGGAGCAGCAGCCGGCCCGGCTCCGTTTGTCCTTGGTTTCTCAGCTGCGGTGGAAGCAGGACTGCCATCGTGCCTGTGACTGCAGCTACTCCCAGCCATGATAATTAATAACTGTATCTGCAGAGCTGACAGTGAACCAGAGAGTTAAGGTTGCCAGGCAGTTTCTACCATAAGAACTTGTTTCTGTTTGCTCATAGATTTGCCCGGCTTTCACCCTGTAAAATTCTCATACCGGGCACTTGCCCCAGGCTGGGGGGTTTCAGCAAACTTCATCCAAGCCAGGGCAGGAGTATGCATTGCTCTACCTCCTCTGCAGAGAAAGGAACCCTCCATCTGTAAGAATTTTGACTTAACGCCAGGTCTTCCTGCCCCATAACAGTCAATAAGGTTTTGTAGTAAACTAAAATAAAGGCCAGGGAAGAGGTGAAATACAAGGGTTTGAAGCCAAAGGCTCCTGTGGAACACAGCAATGCCATCTGCCCTGTACTTGACAAAACGTGCTGTAGCTGCCCTGACATCTTGCTCCACGTGGCAGGTCAGCCTGCAGGCCGGAGGGCCTGGCTTTCCGCGCTGTAGCAGCTCATCTTCCTTCTCTTACATTCATTACCATTCATGATCTGCGCTGGAGTTTGACAGCTGTTGTTCAGTCTTTCCTGTTGTTGGTGATCTGCACCTGAAAACCACTGATTCTAGGAGAGACTTCCTCTTTGCAGTGGGTGATTCAGGCATCTTGAGCATCACTTGAGCCTATAATATGCACTAGCTGCCTCAGAAAAAGCAGAAAGTAGTAACTGCACTTACATCTTGTTAAACAAATATCTTTGGAGCTCTGAGAAAGGCAGTTTGTTGATACTTGGGACACGTTACTGCCCTTCCCACAGCTCCTCTCAGTGGATCTTGATTGATAGCAATGAATTCTCAGTCCTGTGCTTTGAAAGAGACCTGTGTTCTTCATGTATCTGGAAAAAGCAATACCAAAGACTTGGATGGTCTTACACCTGCACATGGGGCTGAGAGAGGGTGTACTAGAATCATGTAACTAGTAGAAAGCCTGGAAAAACTGGAGAGAGTTCAGAAGAAGGTCCCAGTTTGATTCAGGGTTGATGAATGCATTTATAACATGGATGTTGAGGTATTCAGCTGACCAGAATGGAGATTGAGAAGTGAAAGATGGTGCTATTGGTATTTACAGAAAAAGAAACCTGGTCCTGCAGGACCATTCAGCAGAAAATTGAGTGCACTTTCTTATGGAGAAGGTAATTAAAAATGGAAACAGTTTTGTGAGGCGAGGGAGCGGGTTAACCACTGCCCAAAGTGTTCAAGTTAAATGAGCCTTTGGCAAGGCATGTTTCATAGAATCATAGAATCACAGAATGCTTAAGGTTGGAAGAGACCTCTAGGGATCATCTAGTCCAACCCCTGCACACGCAGGGTCACCTAGAGCACGTGGCACAGGACTGCGTCCAAGCAGGTTTGAAGATCTCCAGAGAAGGAGACTCCACAACCTCTCTGGGCAGCCTGTTCCAGTGTTTGCTCTGACCCCTGCCAGAAGCCCCTGGGCTCTGCACAGGGGTGACCGGAGGAGTCATCAGAGCTTCCCCCTTGGCTGCCTGGGAACAGCTCTGGAGCCAGCCCAGCTCTCCTGTCATCTCAGAGGGCTCTTTTTCAAACGCTTGCCATTTCTTGCTCTCCTTTCCTGTTTGGCGAGGGCAGGTGCACTGGTGGAGGCTGCTCACGGCATCCACACGGTGCCACGTGCTGTCTGTGGCATCAGAATATCCTTGGTTGCTCCCTGCCCCATCGTTGTCCACAGTGCTTTGCTGAGCAGGGGCCTGGTGCTGTCTGTGGGGACGGCCAGGCCCTTCCCCAGGATGATAGAGTTAATGTGGAACCCTGCCAGGGGCAGGAGTAATGTGATTTTTCCTACAATGTGCATTACTCCACATTTATCAACATGGAGCTTCATTTGGCAGTGAGGTGTCAGCTCCAAAGCTCCGTCCGTCTCCAGCAGACCTTGCCCACGTTGCTCCTGCAAGGAGCTCCCCAAGGACCGCGGCAGGTTGAGAGAGGGGTGGGCTCATGGCTATGGGGTGACCAGAGCCTGGTGGAGGGAGGGGGCACCAGAAAGGGCAGTCGCCATCCGTCGTCACCTGGGCTGTCCTCCCCTGCTCCTTCCAAGTCCTGGTGTCCTTCTGCCACCAGCAGGAAGGTGCCGTGTCCCCGGCTGAGCGCTGCAGCCGGCCGGCGGAGCTGGCGGAGCCCTGCGCGCGCTGGACCAGCGGTCCCACGCAGCGTCTCGCACATGCACTGTGGTCTGGTGGGTTCTTCAAGCCACCGTCTTTTAAAAAACTCATTCTTGATTTGTTTTTAGTGCATCCTGCTGCACTAGAGGAGTGAGTAGGCTGCCAAGGCAAGGGCTGGCTCAGTGCTGCTGGCGACGCCGTGCGTGGAGCAGCCGCCCGCGCCGGGCGCTCCTGCCGACACAGGCCATGCCGGGAGGAGCGTGTGCGTCCCAGCGCTGCGCCGCCCCGCTCGCCCCCTGCCCCAGCACATGGAGCGGAGCGGCCGCGCTCGGAGCCGTCCTGCCAGCCCAGCCCCGAGTGCGCACGGGTGGCGCGGTGCAGCACAGCGGGTTGGCATCCCAGGGAAGCGGTGAGGTCTGGGGATAAATTGCCATCAGTTTATCTCATTTAGGAGGTAATCAGAGGCAGGGACGTGCGGAGCAATTGAATCTTAGTTGCTCTGAAGTGCCATAAATCAAACGAGCTGTTGCTTTTTTACATGGTCGCATGCTAACACGAGCGCGCCGTGAGGCTGCTGGGGAGCATCCGCAAACTGCACGAGCCGGGGCTGCGAGGAGCA